ATTATTAGATGCCAAGTTATTTAATATATTCTTTATATAACTGTGATTATAAATGGTTTTTTTTAATATAAGATTTTTGAGGATAGGTGTGATAGTGACTATAGATAGATTGTGACTATATAGGATAGATTTTAATAATAAAGTGTTTTGAACATTCAACTGGTGTGACTATATAGTAGAATGTGACTATAACGGGAGTGACTATAGAGGGAGTTGACTGTATAGCAGTACCAATCTAGAGTTTTGCCATCAATATTGTAAATTTTACCTATAAGATTGTTAAGATCGTCCCATTTTTCTAGGTAAATTACAAGTTTGCACTTTCTCTCTTCTGTTGTTATAACTTTAAAAGCTTTAAACCAGAAATCGCTATTAAAGTCCGATGGATTTGGTTTTGAAAAAACAGTATTGCAGCTGTCATTGAATCTGGGATATCATAGAGAACTGCTTGAAATCTCTCTCTTTCTTTTCTTTCATAGAGAAACCAGGTGGCAGGGAACCACCTCATTGGAATGTTCCTTAATGGTACTGTCCAGGCTCCACTATTTCATGTTTGCTTGCAAAGTTGGTTCATCTTCAATTTAAATCTAATGGTACTATATTTCTTTTACTAAGTAATCTTAATATTAATGGAGATAATTTTACTCCAGGCTTCCAGGTGATGTAATAACTCTATATTTTTCAGGTTGAAGGAATATTGTATAGAATGATATCATTAATATTGGCTAACGCTAGTCCTGTTGGTTGATATCCTGTTATTATATACATCGCCTCTTCTTCTGTACCTTTACCATTTTTGGTTTTTTTCTCCTTTATAATACTGAAGTATTAGTTTTAGCTTAGATATAGATCTGCTCGCCTCTAAGTCCTCAAGGTTGCTTTATAAGAAAAGCTTTTTCTGTTCTAGGAAGGCTTTATTGATAAAAAAATCAGCTGTCTCAGCTTTTTGTTTAAGCTTTTTGTCCTTCTTACCATCTTACGTTTTCGTCTAGAAGGCATTTGAGGTGGTGTGGTTATTTTCTTTGTGAGAGGTAATACAAGTTGTGATTAGTGCGATGTATTGTCAGAAATTACTATATCTATAAAGTCTGAGTCTTCATCAGCTGAATCTGTGTCATTATGATCGAGTTCAAAACTCATATCATTCTTTTCTTGTTGATCCTGTTCTATCTGGAAACTTCCAGCAATTTTCAAGTAAACATGTTGAAAGGCTGTAATTCCAGCACTAATAGAGAAGTTTTTGAAGAACATGAGTACACGATAAAAAATATTATTTTTTATATTGTCATCAGTGTTTGAGCTAGAGGTACTAGGCTCTTCTATAAAGGTCTTTAGTATAGTACTAAAGTCTTCTTGTAAAATGTCTAGCGTTACTTGTTTATATAGAAGTTTTTTTACTTCTTTTTCAACTTTGTCAGTATTGTTATCCTGTCAACGATTAAAGCCGACTGAAAAACTTTAACGCTTTAACAGGTTAACTGGAGTTTAACTTAATAGGAGAGTCTTAAGTTGATCACAAATAATCACGTGAAATAACGTTGGATGTTCAGTTAAAGAAAATAGGTTTTTATTAAAATAATGTGAGATTTTGAATACAACGAAAAATATAGATAATCTCTTAGTTGCGAAATTAACTATCTTGAATTATACTACTGGGAATAATACTCTTTTCGTATAACTCGAAAACTACAATACAATTTTTAACTAACTAACTGACCTCCCCTTCTACTTGGTAAAATCCTATTACTATTTATAATAAAATAAAAATCAAGAATATTTGATAAAATAAATAAAACAAATATAATAAATAAATAAAATAAATAAAATAAAATAAATATATCAAATAAATAAAATATAACAAATAAAATAAATAAAATAAATAAATCAAATATATCAAGAAAATCGAAAAAATCAAGGGATCTACGAAATGATCTACAAAATTGATCTACATAAAATTACTGCGCCACATTTCTATTTTAACAGTATAAATATCAACAGCTATGTCTATTACTGATATGGTTGTGAAGCTAAAATGTTGAACTCTTTAAAAATGTTGTTTGTTTCTTACTTGTGTCAACTTTTCCTAAGTGCTTTTGTCGAAAAACTATTTCTGCTTTCTATGTAAAATTTTAAAAATGAGATCTATAAGAAAAAGTTCTTTCCTATATGATATATTAATAAAATTATATATATTAATTATAAATTAAAATTTTGAACTAATAAATTTGAATTAAAATCTTTTTTTTTATTTAGTTTTTAAATAAAATTATCAAGTCTAATTACTTATTCATTAACCATTTATTATATTATTTAATTATCTTTAAACATTAATTTAAAGTAATATCAGAAAAATTACTCTTTTTATAAAAAAATAAGTGATAATTATATTGTTGTGATTTTCAAATTGGTGTGATCGGCAAATTTTTTTAATAAATATATATCAGCTGTGGAATTATTACGAAAAATGATCATGTGGACATATAAACTATAAATGTTATTTGATCTACACAATACTAAGCTAACACTGTATTATGTTTAAAAGATTTTTTACTGTTGTAAGCAGCCAAATACTAAGCATAGATAAATAATATACCAAATAGATTAGATCACGTGATAAAAGTCATATGATAAAAGTCATGTGATATAGGGGAATGATAGTAAGTCACGTTGTAGCCATAGATACTGGAGTAATCGCATAATATGGAGGAATAATATGGAATAAAAGATCAAACGATAGAAAGTCACATGATAGGAAAAAAATAACCAGAAAGGATAAACTTTTAGGAGAAGGAATGATCTACATGATGTAATGTTTATTAAATGATTAACGGAGAACCAATAGATCAAGTGGGGAGTTGATCGATGTGGCTTAGCAACCAGTTTATCAAGTTCAACAATAGGAACAATTAGGAGGAGTAATCATAAGCCACAAATG